CACACACACACACACACACACACACACACACACACACACACACACACTTTGAATTTGTAAATATTCTGTTGGAGGTTTGTATAGATTATATAGTAACACTGAAGGGACACCTAAATTGATGAGAGAAACAAAGTTTCCTAGAAGCATTGACACTAGCTGAATATTAAAAGAAAATGAAACTTAGGTAGGCAGTGAAGGAAGACAGAGGAGGCATACAGAGGAAAGAGAACAGCATGTGCAAAGGCACAGTGGCATGAAAGGGCATGCAACTAGAAATGCAAACCCTGACTGGCTATCTGATGATATTAAAGATTACTGTTAATTTTTTAGATGTAATAATAGCATTAATCATGCTCATTTTAAAAGGAGAATCTTTGTATTTCTGAAATACACAGGGAAATATTTTGGAGTGAAACTATATATTTGGGATTTGCAACAAAATAATAAGGGGTGGGCCAAGAGTGACTGGAACAGGATAGCCATGAGTTGATGGTAGTTGGGTGGAGCCAGGTAATGGATATCAGGAGATTTGTTCTATTCTCCTGTCTACTTTACGGTAAGTTCATAATTCTCTATAATAACACATTACAAAGACAGGAAGGGAGGGAGATAATATAATAAAAATTGGAAGTATTATTTTCATATGATTTCAAATGCTATAAAATAAAATACTAGATCTGGACGATAGTACATCTCAGCAAGTTTCAGCCGTGTGACTAATCAGTCACGTTACTCTCCGGGCCTCAGTGTTCAAATCTGAAATATAATAGCTGTACTACACTAACTTAAAGGAATTTTAAAATACCACATTTCATGACACTAACAAGTTATGACTCTAATACTAAAATTAATAAAGGCCTGTTTTCTTTTTTACTGTATTTTTTCCTTCTTATTCACATATTTTCATTTTCCTTCCAGTCCTTTCTTATTTCCCAATCTACTCTTGTTCTTCTCTTCTTCCAACACTTTCTTTTCCTCTTTCCTATTCTCTCAATAAGCTACCCTCACTTGTAAATTGACCCACTGTTTGGCTCTACCTTTCACCAATTCATCAATATATACACACTTTCTTTTAAGCCATACATGTTTAATCCTTTTTCCATATCATCCTTGTACAGAATTCAGTCCATTTCATTCTGATTTATTCTGTGCCCATTTCCTTTGAAGGCCATTTTTCTTTGTGTTGTGTACTTACGTGGCAACAAACACTTTCGTAATCCTCATATACAAATGGGAATAAAACAAGGTTGGGGGGGACTATGTAGATGGACATGACTATGTACACTATTATGGGCCAATATGGATTATAGATATAGAAAGTTAAGACACACATACACACACAAAAAACCCTACAACAAAACAAGACGGCAAAGGTGTCAAAGGAACTAGGCTGAGGAGAGAAAGCAGGCAGAGAGTCCAAAGAAAGAGAAGGCCACACCACAGGGCAAACTAAGGCCAGACAGTCAGGAAGCAATATAGGGGAAGCAATAAGGAAAGCTTGAAACAAGCAACTCCCACTGAGGACAGGAATCTCATTAAGCTGACACAGGGGCGATTCCCTTGACTGGAGAGTGGACTGTATGAACCATGATAGGAATAAAGCTGGGAGCAAGAGACCAGAACACAGGTTCCATGTAATGACAATGCTATGGAGAACTCTGGCTTAAACCACAAGCAGTTCCAACCTCTGCACATTAGAAAAAAACTAGAACATAGCTCAATCCAAGAAACTGGTCACGGGTAACTGTTAAGGCTCAGAGCCCTTATTAAATTTATAATATAGATTTTGATCAAAATAATGAATGGACTTCATGAAAAGAATATGTAAATTGCTCCCTTCTTAGAGCTCATACTCGTATTATGTAAAACATTCAAGTATATACTAAATGAATACAAAAATGAACAAGACATAATCCCTACTTTAGAGATACTATAGACTAGTGGATAAGAGAGAAATGTAAGTGAGCAATTACAGAATAGCATTAATCTTATGAAAGAAGTATCAGTAATAATAACGATCATAAATAATTTCAAGCCAGAATGTTTAAGTTCTAGACCAGGCTCCAACACGTGCCATTTGTGAGACCTTGGGTAGATCGCTTAACTCTGCTAAAACACCGATTCCACTACAAAATGAAGGAGACATCAGCTGAATGAATGACAGTCGAAGCAAATAATGTTTAGGGGAATAACCCTGAAACTACAAAATACTTCAAAAATATAAGCAATAAGAATAAGAAGAAATATAACATGTTAAAAGAAATTTTAAAATGTTATTGAAATTTACTTCCAAATTGTCAACAGTCAGATTTATTTACAAGTACAACAATATTTATTCAGATTTCATTTTCTAATAGAAAAAATAAAAATAAAATACAATTTTGTGGCTCCTGGGTAATTTTTAAGCATGAAGTAGACCAGCAGAGCGGGAAGAACTGATTTTCAAGATAAAGGCACAGATGTGAAAAGCTAGAAGCCTGGCATGCAATAATGAAAGGTATCACACTAAACAAAATACAGCATCCTTACGTTTTCCACCAAATAAACTTGATAAAATGTAATGTGAAATGGATTTCATTAGGTTTTTTTCATAGGCTTGACTGTCAAAATATTCTATGAGAAAGTTAATTCATTGAAATGTCACTGACCTTATGGGTACTGAGCAGGAATGAGGGGAAATGGGGGAAGGAGCATCACAAAACATATTACCCATATCTGGACTTTGCACGTCCTCATCTTCATCTTCTTGCATTTCTTCAATGTGTGTATTACCTTCCACACGGGATATTATTAATTCAGTATCATGTAACACCAAAAATTCCACCGGCGCTCCCTAGAAATACATGAATTTTTAAAAACATGACTAAAATATAAGAAAGCATTTTAATAAAAATGTTTTACTTGTTTGATATTAAAATGAAACTAAATCTTTGAACTTCAGTTTTAAAATTAAATACAAGGGGCACCTGGGTGGCTCAGTCAGTTAAGCATCCGACTTCAGCTCAGGTCACGATCATGCAGTCCGTGAGTTTGAGCTTCGTGTCGGGCTCTGTGCTGACAGCTTAGATCCTGGAGCCTGCTTTGGATTCTGTGTCTCCCTCTCTTTCTGGCCCTCCCCCACTCACACTCTGTCTCTCAAAAATGAATAAATGTTAAAAAAAATTTTTAAACAATATTAAATACAACAAAAAAGGAAATTCCACAATCCCTATAGAAAGTATCCAAAGCATACTTTATATAAAGATAGTGTGCACTACTGAAAAAACAAAAATGGGAAAACAGAACTGAAAGTCTCACTTGCTTCTTGTTACAACTACATTATTCAACTGAAGTCTGAAACATTTCACACATAATGGTATGTCCCACCTCAATATAAAAGGGATATGTGCAATTTTATTGCAAACAGGACCAATCAAAATTATTCTGATACTCCACAGAAATATTCAAAATAATATCTCATCCTAAAACAATTCCAGTAAAATATTCAATTGCCTGTTTAGCTAAAAATGTAAAACTAATATCTGCCCCCAGATATTTTAAGAATATTTTAAGACTAGACTATCTAGTCCATTGAGATTAGTCCATTACAATTTCTTTCACTAATACCCAATGATCACATTTTAAAACCATGAAATTTTAGGCCACTAGATTACTTCAGTAAATAATCCCTGATTATAACCATACATTTGAATAAAGCTATAAAATAACTCTACGTGTATGTGTTCTCTGATAGCACATATCTTCATCTTTTTAATATTACATTCAAAGCAAGCAATTTTTCACTTCTACAGAAATATAACGGAGTTAAAAGTTTGAGCAACAAAAGTCAAACTAAATTTGTTTGAAATACACATAGATATTGTTGTAGGATATTTTTGTATTCAAATGCAACATTCACACAGGAAAGAACACAAACTTTAAGTATATAGTTTGACGAATTTTTACGAAGTTGATACACTTCTATAATCTCCATGCAGTTGAAGATACAGAACATTATTACCAGCACAGAGGCCACCTTCTTGCCTCTCCCTGTTATTACCCTCCCCCAAAGGTAATCACTAGTCTTTCATCACCATGTACAATTTTGCCAGTTTTTCAATTTGTTTAATGGAACTATATACAGTTTGTACTTTTTTGTGACTACTTGTTTTGCTCAACACTATTTGTGAGGTTTACGTTTAAAAGCAGTTTATTGTTTTTCAATGATGTAATCATTACATGAATATAATAGTATATATGTATGTATGTATGTATGTATCTAATGCATGCGTTTATCCATTATATTGCTCATGGACTTGTGTTATTTACAGCTTGGGACTATTATAAATACTAACTGCTATGAACATTACTGTAGCTGTCTTTTGGTGCACATGTATACACATTTGTACTTAGGAATGGAACTGCTGGTTCGCATGCTATATGTAGCTGCAGCTCTAGGAAGCACTGCCAGATACTTTTCCAATTTTCGTTGTACCAATTTTCACTCCTACCAGTAGTATACAAAAGTTCTTGTAACTCTACCTTCCTAAGAATCACTTGGTATTGTTACTTTTAAAATGTTTAGCCCATTCTGGTCGGTGAGTATTGGTATCTCTTGTTGTTTTATTTGCATTTCTACCTACAGTTTATTTGCTAATTGGATAGGGGAAATGCATCTTAGGATGGAGAGAATGAATCGTCCCCACCTTAATTCAGTATTCAAATGTGGTATCATTAAGTGAGAAAACCAGACCTCATCCACTTTAAGATAAGATAAAATACAAATAAACCAACATCTTGTCCAAAATGCTTAATGAAGCTAGGCAATCTAACTTCCTGTTTTTAGACAACATAAGGGAACAGAGGAACAAGGTAGATAACAGCAAAAGGAAACGGACAAATCCAGAATGAGGAAAAACTGTCCCCATTTATCTAAAATGTTAGTTGTTGAATCTAGGTAGTAGGTATTTGATTGTTCACTCTATTGTCCTACCTCTTGGTTTGATTTTATAAAAAATTCCAAAGAAAGGAATGAAAAAACTTAGATTTTAAGATTTTAAATTTTAAAAATTTAGATACTAAGAAAGATTCTAGGCATTAATACTATCCTCATAAAACTATGCTAATACACAAAGAACTCTTCTCAAAGCTTCTGAACGTGTGTCCTCTCAGCCTAGAACATTCTTTCCCCATATATCCACAGGCATATTCCTTTGCTTTATGGTTACTAATCAGTGAGGTCTTCCAAGTCTACTCTCTCACCTTACCTTGACTTTTTTTTCCATTGTCCTTAACACCATCTGACATTCTACCTATACTGGTTTTGTATTTGTCTCCTGCCACTAGTATATTAGCTCCATGAGGGCAAAAATTTGCTTTTGTTCACTGCCATATCCTGAGAGCCTAGGACTGTGTATGAAACAAAGCAGGTATACAATAAATACTTATGGAATGATTGAATAGATGAATAGTGTTTATTGAGCACTTACGAATGTATTGGCCCTGTGCCAATTTAGCACTTTATATATATTTTTTATTTTTTTATTTTTTTATTTTTTTTTAATTTTTTTTTTCAACGTTTATTTATTTTTGGGACAGAGAGAGACAGAGCATGAACGGGGGAGGGGCAGAGAGAGAGGGAGACACAGAATCGGAAACAGGCTCCAGGCTCTGAGCCATCAGCCCAGAGCCTGACACGGGGCTCGAACTCACGGACCGCGAGATCGTGACCTGGCTGAAGTCGGACGCTTAACCGACTGCGCCACCCAGGCGCCCCTTTATATATATTTTTTAATATACTGACCCAACTACTCTTTAAATAGATATTGTTATTAACCTTACTTTACAATGAAAAAAAAAAAAAAGAGAGAGAGAGAGACACACACACACATAGAAATCGAGTAATTTGCCCAGGGTTACAAAGCAGGATTTGAACTAGGCAGTAAGATTCTAGAGCATAAACTCTTAATACTATATTGCTAATCACTGCCATAGGGGAAAAAAAAAATTGGAAGAACTAATGCAATACTAACAGATATGTTTTATACCTTACTATATATTATAAGGCTTGCAGTGTAGTAATATGGGTATACAATACTATCTCTGCAACCACTTCTATACTTTAAGGACCCTCAAAACCTTTACCTGGAAAGAGAGAAAGAAAGAATGATTATACAATCCCAGGATGAATATTACTGCCCTGAGGAGAAGGTTAAAAAAAAAAAATTGCAATAAAGAGACTCATAGAAAAGACTATTCTATCCTTTTTTTTTTTTAATTTTTTTTTTTAACGTTTATTTATTTTTGAGACCGAGAGAGACAGAGCATGAACAGGGGAGGGTCAGAGAGAGGGAGCTATCTTATAACCTATCTTACCTCATACTATACAAAATTTTTTATTTTAACAATTTAAGACATCAAAACTGGGAAACGAGCAGGAGCTTTAACTTTTCCATAAAACCTACCTCCAAATAATAAATATTACAATTTCTCATTTAAGGATCTTCATCGACTAGGAAAAAAATAGCTTCAGAAAGTATGCTTTCCATGACCTGGCTAAAAAGCAGAGCATACTAGCCACATACTACACACATTTGAACAATACTACAGTTTTTAAAATATTTTCATATTTTGTCTTATAAATTCCTAACAAGTTAGATGGGAAGGTTTTATGAATATTTCACAAATGAGAAAATTGAGCTTGGAGAAGTTAATTCATTTTTCTGGTCTCAGAATGAGAAGGAACACAACTCAAGTCTTCTGACTCAACCTAGTATTCATGCCATAGACTTAGGCAAGAGAATTTACGTTTAATCTGTCTGGCAGTTCATAAACATATCAATCAATCTTTAGCATATTTATATGATATTTTGAAATGTTCAGAATTAAAGAGTTCTTAAGAAAAATTTAAGAAAAATATAAGAAAAAAAGGGACAATAGCAGAAATTTACAAAGGAAATACAAATGGGAAATAAGCCTTTAAAAATGTTCAAACTCACTAGTAATCAAAGGCATGCAAATTAAAACAAGAGCTTTGTCTATAGAGAAGATTTTTTTTTTAAGATGGTAGTGCTCAGTAGGGGCAAAGATTTATGAGGAACAAGAAACTCTAAACCCTGCTGGTTTCTGGAGGGCAATCTGACAATGTATTCTATAAACATCCTTAAAAATTCCCATTTCCTTTGCCAAATTTCACCTCCAAAAATTTAGCCAAAGGAAACAATCAGTGATGTTCAAGACAGTGTACAAAGGCAGGCATCATAGCACAATAGCAAGTAATTAAATATGATTTTATGTCAAAAGTAGGTTATAGAGCATGACCCTAATTTTCTTAAATATATATATATATATATTTTTAAGAAAATGAGGAGATATATATATATATATATGTATATATACCTAGTATATATAGATATGGAAATAGACTAATAAATGAGGGAAAATAAATAACACCAAAACGTAAACAGCAATAATCTTTGAATAGTGGCAATTTACAGAATTTCTTCTATAATAAGCATATACTTCTGACCACATGTATTAACTTTCTTTTAATAAACAAACATTGTAGACCAATATATAAGATGACTAACCTCTTCTGCTCTTCTGAAGACCACATTAGCATGTTGAGGAATGTCCACTTCCAAAGAGTCCCTTTTTCAAAATGGAAATAAATGTTTTATATTGCTAATCTGAAGAATCACAGTCATCAGGATGTCAATATGAAAGAGAACTATATGTTCTTATACTGAACACAATTTATGAAAAAAGATTACAATTTAGTGACTCTCAGAAAGTGCAGACATAAAGACAGACCAGATTTGCTAGTCTCCATCTTGATCTAGAACTTCATGTTAGCAAAGTTTAAAGGTCTAAATTTTAATCAAGCTACTAATTAACGCACAGAATTTAGCTCAGCGACTGGTTCTAACTATATGACAATTTACTAGAGGTTTGAGTTTATTGACAAGTGACTATACTGCCATATTTAAAAAACAGAAAAACAGTGTTTTGCTAAATACAGTGACTATACAATGTTTAAGATACCTTAACAAGAGTAGAACTCCCGCTTTCCCCAGAAGACGCCAAGCAACCCATTCTGCAGTTCTTCTGTCAGCTTCATGTGTCGCTTGCTGACTAACAATAAAAACCAGTGGTAATCCTAGTTGCAGATGAACGGTTGAAACCTGTTGAGGGTCTTCAGCAACTTCAGTCTTCATTTAAAAAGAGAACAAAATGTCTTCACTGTGAGGAAATACGGTTCCAACATTTGGATGTAAACTCTAATTCTTATTAATAAAGTCATGAGTAAGAAAACCAAGTCTGTGAAATAAATCCAACATTAACAGAAATCATCTCAGCATTTCCTGAGGTTAAGCTTCCCAATGTACCTATATAGTTCAAGCATTATAAAACTAACATATTTACAAAGAGTTAAACGTGAAATTACAATGACAAGGAATAAGCATATTATAAAGAAATAAACAAACAAAAAACAATAAATAAAACAGTGTGGTACTGATAAATGAAGAGATATTTCAAATGAAACAGAATAACTAAGGAATAAGTCCTTTCACATAAGAATTAAACATGTAATAAATGACACAGAACCATGAGGAACATCTGAGTTTGGACAGCAGCTTGAACATATACATCTAATTTTACTCCCTCAAAAAGTCCCAGGAAAACTACTGCAGGGAGATTTTTTTTTAAAAGAGATAAACATACATATGTGAAGAAAGGAAAAGAGAAAAGGCAAAAAATTTTTGGAAGCTAAAGAACAGAATAATAATGGACTTAGAGTCTAACAAAGCAAACCCATAAGCCATGAGAGAAAGCTAAGAAACAATTCAATTTTAACTGCAGAATCCTACAATTGCTCAAGATCGGTCAGTGCCTGGTATCTCTGGTACTGGGAGAGAAATACTGGAGGGGGAAGTGGCAAAAAGGCTAAAAAATAAGGAGGAATGGGTAAAAGCTTTGGAGAGAAGTTAGATCCAGAGATTCCTCTCCCTGACTCTAAGAGCTCAGGCAACTGTCCCTCCCTCACACCAGAAGAAATCTGGGGGGGACTTCAGGAAAGCTGAAAGTGTGAATACCACGCCAGAAGAGAGGGGAGTAAGTAACCAAATGCTGAGGCACTCCTAGCTCCCCTACCCACTCAGTTCCCAGAATATAGTGGCCAGACTTCTGTCCTCCCAGCAGAAGACTGGAAGATCCTTTTCCAAGAATTGTGAATAACCCCAAGAAAAAATCTGAGTATACTGACATTAGGGTTCATCAAAAAGAAACACCCTATGGAGCTCAGAGTTAACGAGTCTCATCTACATTCTCAGAACTTCCGATCAGCTTTTTAGTTTCATATTCTAACTCACAAACAGATATCCAAGAAGTAACAAACATCTGAGGAAAGCCTCTAACATAAAAGAGACCAGAACAAACAGAAAAATAGAGAACATGGAAAAAATACAGACTATTCAGGAGGAAGGTTCAGAAAACTACTTCTCATAAGCTCAAGGTGATGGGAAGATATTGTATCCATAAAGAAATAAAAAATAAAGTTTAATAAATCTGCCAGAAGGGACAGCAAAAAATGAAAAATGGGAGAGAAAATGTAATAAAGGTGAAGGACTGGTTCAAGAGGTCCAATGTCCAACTAAGAGTCCCAGAAAGAGAGAAGGAAGAAAATAAAAGGGGAGAAATCATCACTGAAATAAACACAAAAGTTTCCTATGACTGAAGGAACATAAACTGCCAGACTGAAAGAGCCCACTGAGTAACCAAAGAGTAGATAAAAGCACACGCACAGGAAGATGTATTCTTGCAAGGTTTGCAATTATTGAGGATTTTTTTTAATCCTAAAAGTTTCTAAAGAGAAACTTTTTTCTCTTTAGAGAAACAGTATTTACCGATGGTAGGCGGAATCCTAAAACGGCCCCCAAGATTCCCAGCATACAAATCTTGTATAATCCCAATTCCTAGGATAGCCATTCCCTTAATTAGGTTACATTATAGAAGACTGTCATAGCACAATGCAGCCAGAGCCCTGCTGGCTCTGAAGGAGGAAGCAGCAATTTTTTGAGAAGACCATGTGGCGAGGACCTGAGAATAGCCTATAGGAGCTGAGAGCAACACCAGCCAACAAGCAGCAGGAAAGTGGAGACATCTTACAACCACATGCAACTGAATTATACCAAAGCTCGAATGGGTAGAACAGCATGAAGGAATAGAAAGACCTGTTTTCTTCTTTGTGTATTTGGAGAACAATAAGTAATTTAGCATTATAAAGTGCAAAGGAGGAACAAGCAATAAGGATGGAGATCTAGCAAGGGCCCAAATTATTAAAAACCATTATATCCTCCAAAGAAAGTAGGGCTTTCTTCTGTAAGTAAACTGAAATCATTTAGAAACTGTAAGATGGGTGCCTGTGTTGGTCAGTCAGTTAAGCGTCCAACTCTTGATTTTGGGGCCTAGGTCATGATCTCGCAGTCGTGAGATCGAGCCCCACTTCAGGCTCTGTGTCGAGCATGGAGCTTGCTTAAGAGTCTCTCTCTCCCTCTGCCCCCTCCCCTGCTCACACATGCATGTGCACACACACTCTCTCTCTCAAAAAAAAAATATTATAAAAAAATAAACTTGTAAGAAATATTGTAACATGTGTTTAAAAATATTACTCTGACAGCAATAGTGAGTATAAACTCAACACGAGTTAAAAAAAAAAAAGGGAGGACTAGAGACTAGATCAGTTACTATTACTAAAATAGGACATGAGAGTTGGTGAAAACTTCAATTAAGGCATTAGCTGTTAGAATGAATTCAAAAGATATCTAGGTTGTAAAATTATAGAGGTGGGGAGATGCAGAAAATGAGAATGATTTCCCAGGTTTCTGTTACTAATGACTAGACAGTAAATTAACAAAGATAATGGAGAAAGAACAGATGGTGGAGAAGGACAACACATTGATGTTGGACATATTGAGCTTAAGGAGAGATACAGCTAATTAGTAGTTAGATATACAAGAGATACAGTGTAATTAGTAGTTAGATATATGGGTCAGAAAGTCCAAAGAAAAATTTGACCTGAAAGTTCTGATTATCAAATCAGTGTAGTTAATGCTATAGAAACATAAGATCACCTGGAGGGTATATTCTGAGCATCTCTCACTGTGTATATAGAAAAGTACTCTAAAACCTAATGGCTTCAAATAACAAGAATCACTTATTTTGTTCATATATTTGCAAGCTCATCTCTGCTCCATATGGCATTAGCAGGGCGCCTGGATTGGATGCTGGAGGTCGGCTTTAAAGATGGATCATTCATTGGCTAGCAAGCTGATGCTGACTATAGGAGCTCAGCCATCGCTGTGCACTAGGGGCCTCAATTCCTCTTCACTAGAATTTCTCCTCAGATTTAATGTCACAGCATGGTACCTGGGTTTCAAGAATGAATACCAAAAAGAACAAAGGAGAAGCACAAGGCATTTTGTGACATATAGCCTCAGGAGTTACACATCATCACTTCAGCCCCATTCCACTGGTGAAGGCAGTCACAGAGGCCCAACCAGTGTCAAGGAGAAGGGCACAGACTCCACTGGATAGGCACAGTGATAAGGTTAGCTTATGGATAAGGAGATGCTTATGGAATGGGAGATATTGTTATTTCCATCTTTGGAATATACAATCAAAGTCTGATGGGATAGGGCTTTGGAGGTCTTGGAGAGAGGAACCAGTGTATTTTGCAAGTAGGAGAGATGTGAATTGTTATGGTAAGTAGTCTACCCTCTGGCTGTAACAATTCACACCTCCCCCAACCCATATGCAAAACACACTTATCTCAAAGATTCTCAGGCTTCATCCCATCAGACTTGTGAGGATCAATGCAAAGTCTAAGATCTCATCCTCTACATTCAGGTCCAGGTGTTGATGAAGTTCCTCTAGTGTGGTCCCAAGGACAGAAGACCTTCAGAACTGTTCTCAATCTGAAGACCTATGAACTAAAGAGATAAATTATTTGTCCCTAATACATACTCAACAATGACTGAGCAGGCACGGGATGAGGGCTATATACACTCCTGTTTCAAAGGAGAGAAAAAGGAGGCACACAGAAGTCATTAGGACACAGGGTTCTTTAGTCCATCCAGGTACATGTTGCCAGTTAATTGATTATGGCTCAGTCCTACTCCCTAAGGGTTGTTCTCTGAGGCTTTTAATGATAAACTCTGGGCCCTCTGTCCCCCAGCTCATCCTTTCTTTTTTTTTTTCAATATATGAAATTGTCAAATTGGTTTCCATACAACACCCAGTGCTCATCCCAAAAGGTGCCCTCCTTAATACCCATCACCCACCCTCCCCGCCCTCCCACCCCCCATCAACCCTCAGTTTGCTCTGTTTTTAAGAGTCTCTTATGCTTTGGCTCTCTCCCACTCTAGCCTTTTTTTTTTTTTTCCTTCCCCTCCCCCATGGGTTTCTGTTAAGTTTCTCAGGATCCACATAAGAGTGAAACCATATGGTATCTGTCTTTCTCTGTATGGCTTATTTCACTTAGCATAATACTTTCCAGTTCCATCCACGTTGCTACAAAGGGCCATATTTCATTCTTTCTCATTGCCACATAGTACTCCATTGTGTATATAAACCACAATTTCTTTATCCATTCATCAGTTGATGGACATTTAGGCTCCTTCCATAATTTGGCTATTGTTGAGAGTGCTGCTATAAACATTGGGATACAAGTGCCCCTATGCATCAGTACTCCTGTATCCCTTGGGTAAATTCCTAGCGGTGCTACTGCTTGGTCATAGGGTAGGTCTATTTTTAATTTTTTGAGGAACCTCCACACTGTTTTCCAGAATGCCCAGCTCATCCTTTCTAGTTTACAAAAAAAAGGTGCTGTGTTTGCAGCTGAGTAGATTTCTCAGCCTGTTCCTGCTGATAGAAATTTGGGGATCCAAAGAACTCTTCATTTTGTGCTGTTTCTGTGCTGTGCTGTGTCCCTTTCTGTATAAGCTGGTGTAATTCTTTTAAAAACTTGTAGTTTCATGGGGCGCCTGGGTGGCTCAGTTGGTTAAGCGGCCGACTTCGGCTCAGGTCATGATCTCGCGGTCCGTGGGTTCGGGCCCCGCGTCGGGCTCTGTGCTGACAGCTCAGAGCCTGGAGCCTGTTTCAGATTCTGTGTCTCCCTCTCTCTGACCCTCCCCCGTTCATGCTCTGTCTC